TCATCTCATAAAAGAAAAGTAGAACAAGATGGGGAGACTAGTAATACAAAAAGATGTAAAGTGAGTGTAACTGATTTCGATCAAGATTTAGGCAGTGAGTGTGGCTCAATAGTAACAGAGATTGCGCGTGAAAGCATCACAAATGATAAGGTAATTTTTCAGGGAGTAATACTAGATGATAGTGATCATGATGATGAGGAAACCTTTTAATGACCTGGGGGCATAGCCCCCAGGTCATTCCTGAGACTGTTTTTACCCACGTGCGATGTTTATATATATATATATATATTTGTATGTCCACACTTACATTTCTTCTATACATGTTGTATTAGAGAAATAACTTTAGCAACCATCCGCCCAGGCGCCTATGTCAATTGGATGTGGTCACAGAAAACAAAATGGCGAGTCTGAACTGTATTTGGGATGATGTATCAGTACAACTATCTAGCAGCAAAATAACGCATTTGAGTTGACATCAGTCACACTAGAAGGAGCTAACATCAACTAATGATAGCTGTGAAATGCAAGAGGTAAAATGTGACCATATTTGACAAAAGGTACCTTATGGCGAATTTTAAATTTTATCATTATAATGAAAAAAATTAACCTGTGAGTGCCCTGTTAGACACCCATTGTTTCTAAAAGTTACGTAGTAACTTTTTGCATCCTATGGAGTAATTTTATGATTAATGGAGCTCAGGTAGTTGGATTTTTTTAGCTATGAAGACAAATTTTACTACCCACCATAAGGTACCTTTTGTCAGTTATGGTCCCAAATTATAAATAAATATTATGCTTTGTCACCATGCATAACAGCAGGAACTCTGGAATATAAGCTATAAGCTAAGGAAGATATTACTTATTGAAGGAATTATATTCTAGTGACTTTCACAGTTGGGACCCATGATCCACTAGTCAAACCATCACACATGCCTTAAATCATAGTGGCTAACTTGACTTAACTATAGATATAGTCTCAGATATATAATTCGTGAATAAATAAGTGTTACATACAGTATATAGTTGTTAATGATCGTATTTGTTCAGTGGTTATTATTGTTGAGAATAATAAGTTGTATTATATCTAATACCCTTTCTATTTGGCTATTTACAGTTTGCTGTCTCTGCCACCATCGCCTTCCTCTGCCTCCCATTCCTCTTCTTTGCCACGAGCTACCAAAATGCAGCCACCCTTGCCACCTTTTTCTTATGGCCCCTTGTGGTCCGCCCCTATCTCCTGATCCTCGGCCTCTTTCTCCTCCTTGGCCACTTCCTCTCCCTGGTCTCCCTCCACAGCCACCTCTGTCATGGACAGGCGCATGCCCACCACCTCTGCCAGGGCCCCCGCCATCACCTCTACCACCACTTCCTCTGGCCCCCCTACCTCCACGTTCCCTCCCTCCTGCACCCCGACCACAACCTCCAAGGTCAGCTCACAATCCCCTCCGCTCCCCATCAGGATACTCATGACGCCTTGGTAGTGGTATGTGAGGTGGTGGTCTTTTCTCTCCTCGGGGTGGTGGTGGTGGTATAACATCTACTGGAATAACTGGATTTGGAGATACCGCAGGCTCAGAGATCATGTCGTCCTATTATATTAAAGATTTATATATAACTTTATTTTAATTATTATATCTATCATTCATATTTCATTACATCACTATTGTCAAGATTATCGTCAAGTAGAGCCAGATTGTAGGCTTCATTTTCATCTGCCATCTTAACTGACTTTAATCTAGTACTACTATTACTATTCAAAACAGTCAATGCAGCTGTATTATTTAATAATTAAGGAGCCAATAATAATAAAGGTGTCTATCAATTAATGGTCAATTAATTATAACTAAATCTGACCAATCAAAACATGCCACGCCTTAAATTGAAAATGCTTATAACTAAGCAACAAGAATTGTAAGAAGTTTCAATACTTTTCGAAGATAGAAATTTGTGAGCAAAGAGTAACTAAGAAGTGAATATTACCCCGATGAATGTTAGAGTCCACAAACGAACAAAATGCACACACTACAACAGCATCACCATACAAAAAGCAAAGAGGAGTGACTCATTCTGGGGCCTTAAGCGGCGTTTACCACTACAAGATGTTACCAACCGCAAAAAGATGCTCACCGAGTATTATTAAGAAAAGAAAAGGCAACAGAGATCAAGAGTTTCCAGTAGAAAAAGAAACAAGCGTAACAGGGTAAAAAGTATTCCTATAATTGATTTCACGACCTTGCAAGTACAACTTGGTCATTATTAAGACTTATAGAGGTTCTCTCTACCTTGTAATGCTTCTAGAGAAGTCTTTAGACAGTATCTTTATGCTCTCTTGCTGTTAGAAAGCTCTTAACTTTGTCCCATGTGTAAGCCGCCATTTTGTTTCCCGTGACGACACCCACTCACGTAAAGGAGCGTGGGCGGGTGGTTGCTAAGGCTTGTTATTTCTCCAATACAACATGTATAGAAGAAATGTAAGTGTGGACATACAAATATATATATAGATAGCGCGACGGTGAATTCAATTATAGGAACGACCTGGGGGCTTCGCCCCCAGGTCGTTAAAAAGCTTGATACAGATGAGTGAATCTGCCAGAATGAGATACTTTGAGAATGCATCTCAAGCAAGAAGAGACTCTTGCCTTAATGATGAAAGACTACAATCTCAGGAAAGAAGTGCTAATGAGTCAGAGGCTCAAAGAGAAGCACGTCTTAATGACCTAAGAGAGAGATCTCAGCAAAGTTGTCTCAATGAATCAGATTCTCAAAGAGAAGCACGTCTTACTGACCTAAGAGAGAGATCTCAGCAACCGTGTCTCAATGAATCTGATTCTCAAAGAGAAGCACGTCTTACTGATCTAAGAGAGATATCTCAGCAGAGGTGTCTCAATGAATCTGATTCACAACGAGTAGCACGTCTTACTGACTTAAGAGACAGTTCACAAGAACGACGTGCCAATGAATCTGATTCTGAAAGAGAATCACGTCTCTTGAACATACATGAAACAGCTCAAGGAAGAAGGGCCTCAATCTGAAGAATGAAGAACTCAGCGAAATCAAAGAATGAGGGAGTATCGTAGAGAATTGTTGGCTAATCAACCACCTTCGGCTCCCTCACTAGAAATTTTACGTCAGCAAGATTTATCAGGGAATGACCTTGCAATATTTCAAAAAGAAATAAGACTATCTCCGACCAGCATATGCTGTACATGTGAGCATCTGTGCTACCCAAAAGGTGTATCATTGGTTGATGTTTGTAAATTGCATGATGTATTACAACAGCATTATCATGCAGATATTAATGATACACAATTATCAGCCTATTGCCTAATGAAGATGTAGATGGTAGTGTTTATGTTTGTAGTAGATGTATGGCTTTTATGCAGAAAGGAAAATCCCTCCATTTGCTACAATAAATAATATGCATGTTGATAAAATACCACCTGAAATATCCCGTTTGAACACAATGGAACAAAGACTAATTTCAAGAGTGCAAGCCTTTATGAAGCTAATAGAGTTGCCATTGGGTCAAAAAGCATTGGCTGGCAAGACCATTAATTTACCTGCAAATGGTCTGAACTATTGAATTCTTTGCCTAGGCCACTAAATAGTGATGGAGTTGTGTTAGTCAAGCCACCAGAAAGCACAAGCACTACTGTTTCTGTTCCACCTTATGATCAAACAGCCAGTACTAGAAGTGGGCCTGAGAGGCTAGAGCACAAACAGTGCTTGTGCTAACACTGCACAATCAAGCACACCTACTAGTATTAGAAACCTATGTGCAGTGAGGAAGCCACTGGTTGTTGATGCACTCAGGTGGCTAAAAGATAACAAGTAAATAAAAAAAATTACTATAAATAAGAAAAAGTAGGGTTGTCAAAAAATAAAAGAAACAAGGGGGTTGAGTTCAACCATAATAATAATTAATAGTTCAATTAATAATAATAAGCTTTAATTAATAAAAAAATAATTTATTCATGAAAATAATACAAAAATTTCAAACCCTACTTTGCAGAAAATGATAACGTGGCGAGTCCATGCAATTACAATTTCTAACAAGTATATGTGACCCAATATGAGAAAACCAAGCTATATGCTCCAAAATTGAAAATTGAGATTTATGTTTTTCTTAATTAAGCAAAGTTTTTCCTATCTTTTGGTCCTTCTTCCATGTCATTTAACACATTTAGTGCTGAGTTATGCTAATATATGTAACAAGAAATCTAAACGAATGAAATTGAGTTACAGCCATTTTTTATCATTATATCTTGCATTAGTTACATGGAGCACAACAAAAAGAAAGGTCTGTAAATTACCTCTTTCAAGTTATTTTTTGGCAAACTTGGTATCAAATGAAAGGAAATTCTTTATACAATCCATTTTTGGTATAATCTCAGTTTTGATAAGGTACCACTGTCACAACTTTAAGAAGGCATATCTCTAATTGATAATTCCCGCAGATAGCCTGGTTTTCTCATATTGGGTCACATATATATTAATATTTTTAATTTTCAATATTGTACTGAATCCCAAAATTCAAAGAATGCTTTAGCCTATCCATAATTTAAATTTTTTTTATTGCAATGACACGTTATTCAATCAATCGATACTAGCTGAAAAGTCTTATTTATATTTATCACAATAATTAATTTACATCATAGTATTGTAGTAGAGCAATCAATAGGTACAGAGGCATAATTATTATTAATATTCTATTTACATTGTAGTCTGCCTGTTACCATTTTCTGCAAAGTAGGGTTTGAAATTTTTGTTTTATTTTCATGAATAAATAATTTTTTTATTAATTAAAGTTTATTATTATTAATTGAACTATTAATTATTATTATGGTTGAACTCAACCCCCTTGTTTCTTTTATTTTTTGACAACCCTACTTTTTCTTATTTATAGAAATTTTTTTTAATTACTTGTTTCCATACTTTCTATTAAATTTTATTAATTAATAATCCTTATTATTGATAATTATAATTTTTGCCTTAGGTATCAGTTCATTAATGGAAGAAAAGAATTTTGAAATTATAACCATAAGAAGACCCACCGCATTATAAAAACAGTTTTTGAATTTTTGAATCATTAATTATATTCATAGCCTAACTCATAATTATTAATCATTAGTTGTCATTACTAATATCTATGTCCAGTTCTAAAACTATTTAAGTTTACATTCAGCTTCAGTTGCCACTTTCCCGCTCACAGCTCTCAAACTTTTCCACAGTTTACGAGACCTGCATTGTGGAAATACACATTAATAGACCACATGAATACATTCCAATGTGCAAACAATTATTTTTGTTTTTTTAATGGCACACAATAAAAGATGCATTGGCAAGCATTCATTTATATTGACTAAGGAAAGTACTTACTGTGGCCATTTAGGCTTATCTATAGTATGTAACCTAGAATCACAACCTATAACAAAAATACATAAGACATTTCACAATACTCTCCGTCTTACTACATATTCCATTGCAAAGACTACAATAATATGAAACCTATACAGATGTAAACTGGCACCTACTACTGCATGATACAACTACTGATCAAGGAGCTGCAACAAAACATTAAGAAAGAAATTAATTTATTTTCAACAATCTGAATCCAGAATTGCCTTTAATTATATTTCACATTCCAATATCAAGCAAAAGTATTGCTGAATCAGCAAATCATTTCCAGCTGTAATTACCTGTAAAGCATAGTAATAGAAACATATCAAAAGCAAGCAATGTAAACTCACAGGCTAATAATAACAATAGCACTTACCAATCACATCAAACCTCACTATTTAACACCACATTGTAGTCCTCATAAGTACCTATAAAAAGTATGTATGTGACATACTAACTAATAATGATAATGGTAGCATCTACAATGTTTCTGATTGGATCATACATGGCATGTATTTTAGACATAATATTGCTTACTAATGATATCCTCATTGAAGATACTTTCATGACCTGCTTAATATAAAATATCATTGTGTGCATAAAGTATTTCCAATGTGCAAACAATATTTTTTTATTAATGAGAACATGCACATGTTACAACAATCATCAATAAAAGATGCGCAACATCAGCTGGCAAGCATTTATTATGCGCACAGCTTTGATGGCAGCATCATTCAAATGCGCAACATCAGCCGGCAAGCATTAACTTAATAATGCGCACAGCATTGATGGCAGCATTATGCGCAACATCAGCTGGCAAGCATTTACATATATGTAATGCGCACAGCATTGATGGCAGCATTGACATGTATGATGATCATTAATATATGTACCAAATCACTGTTTGAATGATACTACATGTATAATGAGAACTTTTATTGTTACTCTAAATTTTTCTTGTCCTTCAAAATTTGTCAGCAGCGCCCTTGATCCATAAGCACCTGATATTTGTTATAAACATGTAGTACAAGCCACAAACAAGATCGGGAATTGATAATGACAGCTTCCTCCCTTCCTAACCCTCTGTCCTATATAAATGATAGTCACACAAAATTGAATCAATGCTAAACTCTAATGAACAGTAAACCTCTTTCACACCCTCTCCCTGTCCATTATAGCAACAAGTACTCATTATTCACTGTTATATATTGATTAATCTTACATCCTGAATGCAGTTTGATCCCTTGATACTGAGCAATACTGGGTGGATATGCACCAATGGTTTTCAGACTCACACATCATTCACATTGCACATGCAGTGAAATATAAGACACATTAAACAACCAATGTTTTTAAGATGATGGACCTCCCATACACCATACCCACTTTCCATCAACAATCAATGCTTAAGAAATATTAATAGACTTAACTGCTTGGAAATGATTAGTACCAACATGCTTCAAATACAAAGCAGGTGTATTAGTATCACAAGGAATGCCATATAAAGTTTGGGTTCCATATCTAGCCCAGCCAACAAAAGTAGGAGTTAGTGAATATGAATATATGGTTGTACCTAATATTGCAGATAATGTAATAATCTCTGTGTCAGTGGCCCACACACAATTTCTATACATTTTGGACTTATTTATGTAATCATATATGCTTGAATATCTGGTTGCACTTAATGTACTATTAAACAATTCTTCTTCAAAGTTTGGCATATTACTAACAATTGCTCTACGTAATTCATAATGCTGAGAAATGGACCCAGTAATGAGATATGAAAGGGCATAAAATAAACAGTTCCCATCACCAGGGACATCAAGAGTACTATTAGGAACTCTTTCATCTGACAATGGTGTTGTTGGACTGCCAGGTAAGATTCTAGCAGCTGTTACAAACTTAAGGTTCAGTATCTCACACCACCTTCTTTGAACTTCTTCATTAGCAGGGTAATAAACATAATCCCATTGTCTCCTTCTCACAATATCTGGATTGGGAGGCTCTTCATAAGTAAAGATGACATCATCATCTTTTTTTGGATTACTTGTCTTTAATTTAATGCTTGAGAGTTTTATAGATACAATCAGACCACTACTACAATGGTCATTTTTTACAACACACTTGGTTTTATCATCTTTTGGTTTACATTTAATGTTTGAGAGTTTTATAGATACAATGAGACTACTACAACTATCATCATCTTTGACATTAAATTTGGTTTTTAGGTCTTTCAAATTAATCGAAACAATTAATTTATCATCTTTTTTTGAGCGAGGCAATACCAAAGCAGTATTGTCAGTACTACTGTCTACATCAACTTTTCTTTTTTGGGGGCAAGGCTTATTTAAAGCATTATCATCACATATTTTACTCTTTTTGGGACGATTAGATTTTTGTAAATCAGTACTCTTACGTTTATTGCTACTAACGGTACTGTTACTAGTACTTTGTACATGACTTACAGACACCTTGGCATTCTTACTACAAGGTTCACCATCATCAATTATACCAGTCACTTGAATCTTTCTCTTCTTTCCTTTACTTTTCTTGATTTGAGGTAAGTCTTTTCGAAATTTACTTCTCAGCCTGTTAATTTCATTAATGCACAGATTACTAACTTTAACAGAGAGAGGATCAAATGATAATAAATGTAATCCATTTAATGTGCGTACACGAGACAATGCAACATATGCCATACCATCCCCAAACACATCAGTAGATAAATCAATAATGGCTGTATCTAGTGAGAGGCCCTGACATTTATGTATAGTAATAGCATAAGAAAGTATAAGGGGAAACTGTTTCCTATGTATATACAAATTCTTAGATAGCATAAATCTAGATGTAACCCTTTCTATGTCACAAGGTACATCAATATGATCAAATTTGATTGATATACGTGTAGCATAAATACCCATTACTGTACCAATGGCACCATTAACTAATCCTACAGTCACATCAATATTACGTCTTAGCATTACTCTACAGCCTACTGCTAAATACAATACAGTTTCTAAACCAGCTGTTTTGCTTGGTTGATCTTTTAGTTTCTCTAATTTTTTTTCTTGTTTTTTGTCAAATTTTGCTGTGCTGCCACTTTCATCAACAACATCAACACATGCTAATTCTATTTTCTCAGTTTCTAGACTTTCTAACATTAATTCATTGATTTTTTGGCAGGCGTCTACCTTAGAAAATAGACAAATTGGAGGATTTCTTCCTTCACTTTCCAATTCCTTATATTTTTCTTGTATCGAAACCTTAAATACGCGACTCTTAAGTGTGTCAATAGTTTCATCAGTCAGACTGCCATGCCTAACAAAATCAAGCATCTTAAAGAAAGTTTCGTCTCCTTTTTGTCGCTCGTTGATTGTTAGTTCATCATATTCTACTGTTTCTTTCCATATGTTAACTGCATTTGCTACTCCAAGTCTAGTTTTTACTAGTTTGTTGCTAATTTTTTTAAATACTGGTCTACCATTAACTGGTGGCAATTGTAAGAGGTCACCTACAAATAAAATATTTTTGGATCCAAACCATTCATCAGTTCCAAATATATCTTCTAAGCGCATGTGTAAGTATGCTAGATTTAGATTGGATACCATAGATACCTCGTCTACTATTATAATTTTTAAATTTTTAAGTGTCATTTTTATTCTTTTCTGAGCTTCTTTACTCAAAGCCCAATATCCAGCTGTCTTTCCCTCATGCTCTATCAGTAGCTGAAATAATCTATGTATTGTTAGTCCACCTACATTAAATGCGGCTATACCTGTTGGTGCTACTATAGCACACATAATTTCACCACTTTTTGGATGCCATATGTCATCCACTAGGCATTTTATTGCCTCTATTAAAAACAATTTACCAGTTCCACCTACACCACTAATAAACATTCTTAGTGGTTTGATATTATCTAATCTAAGTAGTCTTGAAGAATCATTCTCTAATAAGTCTTCACGTTCTTTTTGACTTATAAGATGACACAATTTTATCAAAAATTCTTTTTTGATCTACATTAAGCATTGCCTCTCTTTGCTCTAATGTTAAATTAGGTACATTTATATGCATGTCAGCAATATCAGCTACTGCTACCATTATTTCACCTAGTAATTGAGGCTCATCATCTTCCTTGTTATCAGGAAGTTCTTCAGTGAAACCGGCTTTATTTCTTGCATCGACTATTTTCTTCCAATTACGTTCAGCTTCTAATAATTTCTGTAGTTTGTTGAAAAGATTTTCAATGCCACGTATAGATGCTTCTCTGTGACGCCAAAAAGCTTCTTCCATTGTTTCTCCTTCCATTACAAGTGTGCTCTTGTCTCTAAAAGGCACAAATAAAAATATTAGCGAGTAATAAAAATCGTCTCTTTCCGCTTCTTGCATAGGATTAAATTTCCTATGGTTTGGAAGGACTGGCTTTGATCGAAGTTTGTATTCTCTTTCTCCATTTTCTCCTATTTTATCAAATTTGTAATTGGCAACAAATTCATAAAGAGATACATCTTCCATGTTATTCGGTCTTGTTGGATAAAAGTCTTCAATTATGCTAGGATTAAAAATGTCTTTCGAAGATCGATCCATTTTAGTTAAATATGAATACTTCTTGATTTTTCTGCTCCTCTTATGAGGCAAGTACACATTAACGTACTGTACAGTTACTGATTTCATGTATAAACTTTCACCAAGAAGAAGATCGCTAGCTTCATATAGTCCTACTTCTTTAGCTCGAAGTAATTTTTGGCCGATTTTCCAAAGCCTGCTGTATATGTTGTCACAGCTGCTAACTTCATCCCGTAAGTCCTGTGCATGATTCTTTTCTGCTTTAGTGACATATCCAGTTACATACTCTGTTAAGGAAAGACTCCTCTCTGCTATGTATTGCAGGTCCATATTTGCACGCCACAATTTCAGCAGTAAAGGATTATAGTCGTTGACTCGAACTTCTTTTTCATTTCGTTTGAGATAATATATTTTATGGCATGATTTCAAGCTGTTTTCTACATCATTAATGCAAATACTATCTCGTACTGGTCTAGGAAAATCGAATCGGCATCTAGATACATATGTCTTGCCGACTTTAATATTTCGCTTGCAGTATTTGCTGCACTTGTGCATTTGGTATTTTGTTACCAAAAAATTTAAATCAGGCGATGTATTACTATCTGGTATATGACAGGTAATCCTATCTTGTATGAAAGAACAGAC